GAAAGCTTTGGAGTAGAAAGCCCTATGTCCTAGTCTGATTTGTACAGTCACCCTTTCCTCTTGCTTGCCTCTAAAATAACACTTAGAAAAATCCCAGCCGCATTTTGCTTGTCATTATTTTCACAAAAATGTTCAAAAAGAATTTCAACATCCACAGGTCTCCATGTGTCAGGTTATATATAACAGTAAGACAGAACAGTTATTCGAACTTCAAATCTTCTTTTGCCTCTAGCTCCCAGGCTCCAATGTTCGTTTCTTCAGATACACAAACCCACAGATATACAAAATAAATGATGGACCCCCCCGAAACTCAAGGCACCAGCATATAGGTTTATTAATATTGCCTGTAAGTCATAGTTGTGAAAGCTGTTACTTATTGCATTATGTAATGGATGTGGTGCAATAGATGCAGCCAAAAACCACCTATTTTGCCATTAATGCAAATCTTGAATATGCCCAAGATACACCAAAAGACAGAAAGAAAATCTCCATACCATGAGCAATGAGGAAAAAAGATGAAGCAGAACTACTCACTGTTTGTGAGCAGAAAAATTCTATGGGACAAGTGAAGGATAAACGTTAACCTTCTGTAGGCCTGGGGATATTTTCTTACTCCAAAGGACACATCTGATCTGAAACAAGAGGTTAAAGAAAAAAATGCACACCACAGATGTCATTTATGACTGCAAACACATTATTAAACAGGAATGTGCCTAAGAAACAGAAAAGAAATGATATTTTTCTCCTAAAATAGCCAAAAAAACTCAAATCACCCTCACTTCCCTCAAGTGATTATTAGTCATGGATCCTATCACCCAGCAGCAGTAAACAGGGTTTAAAAAACAGAAGAAAAACAGTAGAAATATTATATTACGCTTGTAAATTCAGATGATTGGCCACCATCTGCTCCTGATGCCACATACAGCACTACAAATTGGAAAGAAACTGGGCTCTTTCTCACTGCAGTTTTGCTACACGTTTTGCAGGTCTACACCAGTTCTGACATTACCACCCCCAATTCTCACCTAGCCACTATCACACAGGGGCTATAGTCACATAGAAAATCACTCTATATTCTGTCCGGTTTTTCAGTCTTTAGCACCTCATAGCTGATCATCCAGAGTCCTCCCCACAGGATCTATAACCAAAGAACAATTTCTGTAAGGCTACAGATTGACTCCACACCCACTAAACAAAAGGGAAATAGGAAAAAATCTATTAGAGGAAAACAAAATAAACTTGGGAGGGGGGACAGTATGATACAGGAGGTTCTTGCAGGTAAGGAAAACAGATGGTAGTAGGAAATTAAGGAAGGCAGAGGACAGGGACGTTAAAGAAAGCACAGTGCAGGGAAATTCAATCCCTTCTTAAGGTGACTCAAGCTGGGGAATTAGGACATGGACAGGAAGGATTCCAATAACAATTTTTTAGAAAAGTCTCTGATTTTCATCCACTTCAAATAGTGGCTACTTCCTTTAGTGGTTTCAGAAGGAGATATTCTTGAGAGTTGGAGGGGAAGGGGCAGCTCTCCAACACTATTTGCACTCAAAGACCATCTTTATATCAAGAGCTAATACACTGAAGTGCCGGAAGATGGAGTAGCCATTAGTTCTCGGATCATCTGACAGGCAGGATAAGGAATGAGCACTCACCCACCCTCCTGTAAGAGGACATTACAGCCTATCATGTCATTCCAAGATACATTAAAACACGTACACAGTCATCTGAATGAGCAATTACAGAAAACATGCATTACCAATCGGGATTGCTGGAGAACACTGGTGATTAATGGGGAGTTGATAAAATCTCTCAGACAAGAACGCAACGCTGGTTAATGGGTCTTTCATTAAAATGCAGTTAAAACTGAATCAGAACGGATTCAACGTTGAATAATTTTAATGAAGCAAGTGTCAAACAAGCACATCAACTTCTCAAAAACAAAAGAAACTCCAAAAGTTTAATTACAAAAACATTATACATAAAACTTGGCATCTCAACAATTCCAAACACATTGATCCAGCAAAAGGACTCCATTTTCATACAATTTTCTTAACATTCCTGTAAGCGAAGAGAAAGCACTTTATCCTGCTCCTCTCATCAACACCCACTTCATATTTTTGTCAGCCAACACTGAAAAATGTAAACTGAAGTGATGCTCAGAAAAACACTGGAAAGGCAAAATCCATTTCGTAGGGTTAATCAGAGGAGATAGGAAGCGTCTTAAGACAAAACATCATCTGTCATCTTGTTGACGAGCACAAACTTAATCTTTCCCCAGGTGCTTTAAGCTGGCTATAGCATCTCCCTTCCTTCTTCATGGGAAAAGGAAAAGATCTGTCAGTCCCCAGCTAATAGCATCACCTCACGTTTCTCATCCGAGAACACTTACCTGCTGCACAACAGAATGACATATTAGCAGAGCTCCATGAGCAGATCCTTGCATTGAATTTATACAAACAGGGGCAGCCTGCAGCCACACACCTCATTTATAGCGAGCGTGGGTCCTGCACAGCCTGGAATTGCATCCCACTATATTACATACCAATTTCTGGAGTCTTCATGGGTTATAAGATGCCACAAACTGAATTTTAGGATTTTGTAAATCAACTTTTGGCTGGCAGTGCATTTTGGCCACTTCAATGAAAGTCCAATATCGCTAATCCTAAAAAAGGAGGCTTGCACAGAGCATGAAGGAATGGGTGCTTTTTCCTGGAGACATTATTAACCTGTATATTTTCTTCCTCATACAATATTTGTTAAAGAACCCACTAAAAAGTCCCTGCCAACATCAGTTGGTCTTGTCCACACTGCAGAACGTGTAGGTCAGTGCAGCAAATCATGGTTCTTTTTGGCGAAATCTTGCAAACGAGACTGAAGACAAGAGAGAGGAGTTTCCTCCTTGAAGGAAGACTTGAATTTACATGGAAATCCTTGCTGCTTGGTTACAGCAATAAGCCCACGAGCAAAGACCTGACGTGCAACGTGTTGACCCGGAGGTGGCTTCAGGCAAGCACAAAGTCCATGTGAATAGCATGGGAAAGAAGAAACTACTTTTTAATCTTCAAACACTTGCATTATAGATACTTGAAAGCAATCTTGATTGCAATGCACTCAAGTAATGAAAGCAATCTCCAATTCATAATAGGGAAATCCTTAAAGAATTCTGAAGGAGAAGCGAGGAGACTCATGTGGAAGAAAGTGCATTCCACTCATTCCTATGAAGCTCAAAGGTGTTCAACAAGTGCTCAAAGTCTGAATTAACAATTTGACAGGAATCCAAGGGCAATGATTTGCATAAGCTGGAGCAGACAGTAGGTGCCTTCATCTTTGACAGGAGGCGCAGCGTGGCTTAGCAAGATTCCAGACTCTAGCATGCAAACTCCTACTCAACGCAAGTGAAAGGCCATTTAGGTCACAGTGGAACGTAATATGCTGAATGCTATAGGCTCTGTAGGCTATACGTTAACAGCAAGGAGGTGAAAGCACTTATGGGCTCAGCTGAGAATTCCGTGGGCTGCTATGTGGACCTAGCTGCTAATAATCTTCTCTGCTATAACAACTCATGCAAAAATACACGTGCTGTTTCTAGGCATATTGTTTTTCAGCGCTACGGTTTCAGAAGAGCAGAAAATAAATCTCTCTGTCCATTTCTCTTTGTATAGAATGAGATCAATCCCTGAAAAAGTAAGCAGTAATATCAAATCAGACTGAAAAAAAATGAATCGGAGGGAAGATGAGCTTTGTAGTTTTAGTGTAAAATGGAAATTTCTACTTTCCCTGCCAGACGAGAAGAGTTAGCCTTTCACTTCCTTTCTTGATTATCATTAACCTTTGCAATAGTAAAATGTTCCAGCAAATACTTTCAAGAGGTAACCGCAGACTTTCACAGAAGAGCAGGATGCACGTGCAAAAAGGGTGCTCAAAGAGAAGGGTGGTAGGAGAGTCTGTCCTGTACTGGAATCAAGTCCCAAAGCACCAATTACAGCCAGTTTCAGTAGGGAATAAACTCACATTTTAGAAGTCGCAGGACAACATGGAAAGCAGAGTTCTACTGAAGAAAAGCTTATATAAACGTGGCAGGCAGGTAGGACAAGACAGTGCACTGAGGAAGGCTGCCTGCCATGACAGGACACGGGTGCTGCCATCCAGTACTGCAAGTATCAAGTAACAAGATCAAAAGAAGAAAACTGAAGTGGCGGAATGAATTCCCACGAGGTAAACGTGAAAACAAAATATAGGGCGTCAAAAGACATGAAGTAATATAACACTTCAAAGTTATTACCACGATAAGTAGGCTGACTTAATTTCACAAACTGAGAGATTTCACCTCCACAGTCAGCCAGGTTACAGAATGTATGCACCCTCACACCCAGAAAAGCTAATAAAAAATTGAAAATTGCACAAAGTCACATGCTCTTAAAAGGTTTACATAAAGGACAGTTCGAAAATGTTTAGTGGGCGGTGTCCGTGGCTTCTTAAGACCTTTTAATGCATTGATCTGTTTGCCCCAGCGACAAACCGCAAAGGCAGAGAGCAGGACAAACCTGCTAATTCTGCCTCCCTCTCCCAGTCTTTCCCTCATGGCTTCTTATTCCACACTGGCCGAAAAACTTTTGTAAAGCATCCCTGGGTCATGAGACCTGCGGATGAAACAAAGAAAATAACTGTTAGAAGACCACAATCTGTGAGGATGAAATAGGACACCGTGACATTACTTTCGAAGGGTTTATTTAGAAATACGGCATTAAAAAGTGCAAAGAAGCGTACAGAGACAGAACTATGTCAGTATAGCCACTAATTTTATACCTGTGAATTCCTGCTTCCATCCAAAGAACAGAATGCTAAATAAGAAACTACTTCCTCTTGCCACCATATACTGTATGTTTGCACAAAGAAGTTTTAGCATGCAGTACAGAGAAACAGAAACATTCACTGCTCCAGTCAAGCAGCCTCTAAATAAAAGATACTGAAGCCACCAAAAAAGCAACCAATTGAGTTCTGTAATACAGCATTTTTATAGAGTAAATGAATGCATTTTCTACAATCTTTGACTTTGTAAGACACCTCAACTACAAAGATACTACTAGGTCAATAGGGACTACATTTCAGAGAATTAATGTATATCTTATATGCATGTTAAGGAGACGATGGTCATGGCAGTCTGACTATAGGCTTTAATCAGGTGGCAGCTCAAACTTTCTGTCCTAAGCTTCCCTCTCTTTTATGGAAGCCCTTTTCTTCGTAGATTTGCAACCATAAAGCCCTTTTTCCATCTAAGATTGTGTCATAAAATCCAGCAACTGCCCCAACATTCACCGAGGAATGAACAGGCCTATGAATTCCTGGAACATCCGATCCAGCTACAAGCACATATTTATACCATGAAATCAGGTGAATAGCCACATTTTTAATTGCCTCATGCCATTATGCTCCTGAAAGCAGAAAACATGTTAGACTGGAAAGAAACTGTTATCCAGGAGGAAGGATTCTAGAGGCAGAAGTAGTTTTTCAAGCCACTTCCAGGGGAAAAGAATGGATTCATCTATAAGAAAAATGTGTATTTTAAGAACACATAAAATAATAATGATTTAGGAAATAAGAATCCTCATGATGTAAGAACTGAAGTCTTGATTTTAGGAGCTCTCAGCCATGGTTCCTCTGGCAAGGTGTTTAAAGGGCAGATATCTGTCTCGGTGCTTGGCACGCCTTTCTAATACCCGATTACTGAGAAACTGCTTCCCCTCTTACCACATTCTCTCAAACCTCCCCAGCCCCAGTTCTCTCTCTCTGAGCTCACAAGAGTGCTAATTGAAAACAGTTTTCAAAAACGAGGCGGCCGATGAGCTACTGAAAAATCCCAGACCTGGATCGACAAGCTGTTCCCCTTCACAAATAGCAACAGTAAAAGCCACTTCTTTATTCTGCTGGGAGCTCGGTCGTCTCTCAGAACCAGAGCCCGTTCCATCTGGCTGCCCTCTGGAAGGACAATGATCTTCTAGCTTAAGCCATGCTATAATGGGGAAAGCGTAATTAACTGTTCTGTGCAGTATCACAAAAGGTCAGAATCAGAAGGGATAAAAAGCCACATCCTCATATTCACAGGCGGCACAACTCAGATTTTATTTGCATTTCTAAACATGAACACACTAGAACACGCACAGTAAATCTCTTCATAATATACATCTAGAGAATCTAAGTATGTGCATAATTGGAATAGGAAAAAGGCAATCTCCCAATGTCTGGATACTGTTGGGGAGTAAATAGGCTGGGAAATGCAAAGAAGCACAGGAATGCACAAAGACTTTTTTCTTTATTTGTTTCTCCATTCAGTCCTTGATTAGGGCTTTCTAAGCTGCTGAACAGAAACAAAAGTGCAGCACCATGAGCTCTGCAATACTGTATGCATAAAGCTATGAGCATTAGAGTCTCAGCAAATGCTACAACCAGCTTGAATCACACATCAGTGCTTCACTTGCGTGTAAACTGTCATACCCAGAACAACCTGACTACAGGTGCTGCAGACATGGAAGTTTAAAGGTGTTTTCAGTTCATAATGGAAATGAGCTCACCTGTAACCTCTTGAGGCAAATGAGATTTCTCCATGATCAGGCCCTACATTTATGCAGAACTCTTCCAATTTATTTCACTTGAGAAAGAAACAATCTTCTACATTAGTCACCCTAGCATTCAAATGTAAATTATTGCTCTTCCTTTTCTGTATCGTCAGTGTTCTCATTATTCACATCACATCAAATACACTGAATAACAGGGCAAGTAGCTGTATTATGTCCTTGTACATATAAATATCTCAGAGCTAGGGAGGAGAATTTTGGAACCTTTAAGTGCAGTTAGATTTCTTTTCAACCTCATTTGACTTTCAGCAAGTCAACCTGCTCTTGTAGCTTTGAGGGAAGAAAAGTGCTTTTTTTTGGTTATGCAATGCAGTGATCTACACGAGAATCAGTGTCAGAACAAGTACCAGCCGTACGGAGTAGGTAACACACAAAAACAGCCTAAAAAACAAGAGCACTTACCCAAGCACTAGCGTTCAAGGCGGTTTACCACCTCTCGGACCGTGGCTATGAGGTTCTCATTCTCCTGCGGGTTGGCCATAATAACACTGTGCAGCCTGTTCATGTAGGAATCGATGGTGTCCATGGTGGGCGTCTCCCCGCTACCTAGAGTTAAGACAGTAAGATGAGCCACGCATTATTGAGACGCGTGCAGCAACTCCAAATAGTCAAGACTGCACTCAGGACAGTTTGCAATAAAGGTGCTGATATAAAGGTGCTCTTGCCACATATCACCTAATCTATCAGGCTCTGTAGAAGAAAGTTTCTACCTACTTCCACAAAATGAGTGGAGGACAGCAGGACTAGCAAAGCCTGGTTTTCCATGATTTGAATCTCACTGCTGATTATAATCTAAACTCCCTTCTTTTTTTTTTTTCCTTTTAAAAGCTGGGCACTCAGAGTACCTAAGTGGATTCTCCGGAGTCTAACAATGCAGATGCTAACGCTGAAGTCTTTCCATTAATCAAGGAACTTATAGGCTCTGTCTTTTCTACTTAGTAACACATTTTCACAGAACAAGTGAAGGGGAACAAAGACTGAATAAGCACTTTCTTGGGAACAACACAAATAGCAAGTGTATTTAACGCAAAAAGAAAGAAGGAAAAAGGAAATAAGGCTGAAAAAGTTCGGCTGATGCTAAGCATTCCCCTGGATTTATTCCAAGACTACAGTATATCATATAAAAAAAAAAGGAAAGAAAAAAAACCAGAAACAGCACTATACTACAAAATTACAAGGCAGGCCATGCAACTTCAAAGCAACGTTAGAAATTAATTTTTAATTTGGACAGAGTCCTAAAAAAAGTCTTACCTGGTAGCGGGACTCCAGCAAAGCTGGTTGTGAGCGCTTGGCGCAAGGTCTCTAGGTGCTGCTGCAGCACCGTGTTGCGGCTCCGCTCCTGTATCACATCCACCTCCAGCTTCTCCACGGCCGTGCGCATACTCTCCACGTGCTTCTGCAGGGCCGCGTTCCTCTCCTCGAACTCCATGTTGGATTTGCGGAGCTGCCGCAGCTCAGCTTCACGTGCTGTGAACATCGGCCCATGCCCACCCCAGGAGTCAACAAAAACATCCCTATGAGTGGCAGTTAACAAAGCAGAATGTTCTAGAGGGTCTCCTAAATTGATCTTTGAGAACAGTGTGGTTTTGAACTACACATAAAAAGCATCATATCATGGAGCTCTGGTATTGCCAGAGTAATTCTTAAATAGCAGTTAGTTTCTAGATGGACAAATTAGACAATCCAAACCTGGCAACAGAAGTGAATAGAGCCTGAACCAACATCTTTCTGTTTCTCAAATGTCTCTTAATCCTATACTACAGCAACTGGAGCTTGGAATGGCT